TATATATATATATATATATATATATATATATATATACACACACACACACACACACACACACACACACACACTATTATGACAGTTGTTTGCAGGTAAATCCCCTCCCCTATTCTGTAAACATTTAATAAAGGTTCAGTCTAACAAAAAAATCCTTTAGATGTTGTAGGACAGATTTAGATTACTAAATGGTGTACTTTTCTGGGTAGCTTACACTAAATAACAAAGCACCACATTCTTCTTGAGTATCTTCTTGCATCTGTCATTCTAACGTGTCAGTCTGATGCTCAAGTAAACAACACACCAGCTCATTTTTACAGTAATTCCTACTCTTTTCAGAAGTTTTATAATTGTGTTGAGAGTTTCGCAGTTACTTCAGATGTAAATTAATATTGTCACAGGAAGAACTTTAAAATATGAACTGTACATTCAAATATAAACCAAAGTCAATATAGCTAACACACTTACAGAGCCTTTTTCTTTTAATGTCAACCAATTTCTGTTCCTTCTCACGTGCTTGCTGAAAAAGAAAAAAAAAAAAGCATTTCCTAGATTCTTGGCCCCCAAAAATACTAGATGATGCAAATTCAATCCACAAAAACAGTTAAGGGCAGCTCTAGAAGCAGACTTTCTTACATACTTGCTCTAAGTGATCATTTCAGGAATTTTAACATCAGTAGAAAACGCACCCTTTGGGCCAAGTATTTAGCTTCATATGACTTGTGCAGTCCTGTTACTTTCAAACTGTGCTCCTGCCCATGTTGAGGTTGGTAGACACAACTGCAACAGAAACTTAAACTGACACTTACCTGCTGATACTCAATTATTGCGCTGCTGAGCATTACTATGTGTTTCATAGTTTTCATGATCAGCCTAAGGAAGGAAACACAGTTGCATACCTTAAAGACCATTAATATGAGCCAACAACGTAAATTTTGAATTAAGGTTGTTTGGATTAAACAAAAAAATCCCCATTTCCCTTAACACCAAAATAAAGCATACTTACTTTTTTTTTTTTCCTTTACAAACTGCACCCTTTCTTTATTTACAGTTATTATATAGGGGCCAATCTCCTTATTTCCCCTCTCAGTTTCCCTAATGTTTCAGTTAAGTCTGTCTAACATTTCAAATCACAGAGTTTGGAAGGCATCAAGGAAGCCTAACCACCTGAAAATGCGTAGAAATCGAAACCCCTGAATTCTGGTGTGTGGCAGGAACATCATGGAGATGCGATGTTTTCAGCTGTATTTCTGACAGAAATTAAATTTCTTACATTACACTTCATATGAATGCACCCATTAATTGGGCAGGAAATGAAAAGCTAGTTTTAAACATGTTTGAAGCTTTCAGTTCTTTTTTAAAGCTCTTACACAACTAACTAATGAAGGCAGCAAAGCAGAGGCAAGACTGTTAAAAGCCTGTAACATACTCAGCTATTATAAATATAGGTAACATACATTAAAGAAAAAAAATACCTCAAAAAACCTAGAAACAGTTCTCACTAGTGAATCAAAACCAATGATCTCTGTAATCAAAGGTTGGTTGGTTCAGAGCCCAAATGTAAATCCACCCTGGATATAAAAGGTCTGATCATACTGATTCTAGCCAGAAGTGAATGGTTATCTCATTCAGTCAAAACTAGAAGGAAGCTTGCTTTTAAAAAAGGTACAATGAAGTAATGTAGAAATGTGTCACATTGAACTGTGTAAAGTCTGTTCCTTTCTAGTCATCCTTTCCTCAAGAACACCTTACCGTGAGTCATTATCATTTTGTTTCATTTTGTTTCTCAGGGCAGTCACAAGTTGGATCCTGCATAGTGTAGAGAAGAAACATTAACTGATGAGAACTAATAAGAAACAGAGAAGCAGACTTAGATAAGTAATGAAATAGATGTTTCCAAGGTTCCATTTATGTTCATTTTGACATTGGAATCACATATGTAAAGTACTGAGTACCTTTTAAATATCACACTTCTTAAATAATGGGGCTTAACTCTTAGGACAAGAAAGGCATATCAATGATTATTTGTGAGAGTGACAAGTCCTTTCTCTCTTGTAAAACATCCCACAGTCTGCAGAAGTGAAGCTGGGCAAAGGTGGGAATTCAAAAGAACAGCCATGTAACATGAGACGTATAACACCTAGCAACTTTCACCTTTTCATATGTATTTTTAAAATACTGCCAAGTAATATGTTTACTGATTTTTACAGTCAGGCTTTCTCAATTTTGAAGGAACCTTTGGGTTTACAGTTTCAACTCTATGGTTCTCTATGGTATCTCCATTTGCATTCCAGCTGGTTCAGTGGTACTAAAATCTCCCATGTTTGCAACACACACCATACATATCACTTTGAAATCCTGTTTTAATCAGAATTATGTATATGTGCATACATAAGCAGAAAACTTCCAAATAAATGGAAAGAAAATTCTACCTTTGCAAGGCTAATGTCTTATTCTCAGAAGAGACTTTTGCTTCTTCCATATCTCTTTGCAAACATTCTCTGCCTCTGAAGAAAAAAAACCACACAAACAAAAAAACCCCAATCCCAGTATGAAGATAACAACAAAATAACAGCAATGTCACATTTTTAACTTGCTCTCTACATGTCTAAAGTAATTTTTCCTGTAAACCACAAATTATTAAAGTCGGGAGTATTTTTAGCACATGGAACTGTATTAGTGAATTCAAGCCATCACAAGAAGGACTGCAAATTTAGAAGCCACATCAAACATAAAATTTCTTCTGCATATTTTCTTTTAATTTCCTTTATTTTCACCAGACTCCTACATTGTACTGGTCGTTAATCCAGAGATTTATTACAGAGTAACTAGAAGAGAACCTTCAAGTTCAGTTCTTAACCCTTCTCCTCTCTATTTTAAAATACATCAAAGGTTTGAAGTTATCCAATGACATACCTCACGATAAACTTTTCTTTGACATAACCAGGGTAACTTGCTTGATCTGCAAAGAAAGAGTGTCACTAAAAAAAGCACAATAGAGACTTTTAAATACAATCTACAGAGCATAAAGGAAAGCAGTTTGATGGCTATACTAAGAAGGTAGTTTTTAGTCCTATCTCCACACCTTACCAACTCTTCCCCTGTTAGTAAGGCTACACTATCAATCAGCTATATCAGAGAAATAATTATGCCTTAAAATACTTCCAATGAGCACATTATTGACTTGCCAGAGCTAGCTCAAAACATTATTCTCTATGTAGAGCTGGTTTGTTCAGTGGAAGAAAACATAAGTAACAGTAATACAATGAGAACAAGAAACACGTTAAAGCAATATTGCTGCCAAACAGTTTGGCAGACTTTTAGTAAGACTTCAACCCCAGTAAACAGATTACTGAAAACTGTCATCAGGTGTCAGAGGAGTCTAAAGTGGGCAACAATCACATGGCAGTTTTGTAAGCATTCAAACATGGGTTCAAGAGCTGTCTAAGAAATGCAGTAAAATACTCAGCCAAGAAAAATATTTCAACTCCATAACGAGCAATTTTGATAATTTTTTAAAATGTATACGTTAGCCATATCACATTATTAGTGTAACATCACATTAAGAAGCAGCACAGGGGGTTGCTGTAGGGAGTAGGGATAAGCTTACTGGCATGAACTGCAGTGCCGTACTCCGTAAGCTGTTGCTTCATCTGGTCCCTCAGGCTGCAGCAGAAGCAAAGCGACAACGGTCAGACGCCGCAGGCCCGGAGAGCGGGCTCTGGAGGGGACCCAGCCACCGCCCCTCACGCCCGCCCCGGCCTGCTCCACCACCGCCACCCCAGCGGCTCGCCGCCCCCCCCCAG